CTTTATACAGATCATTTTATATGATAATATGCTATTGAACTTTCATGATCCTCTCCTAAAAATATTCTCCTTTGGTCTTACTGTGTGAATGTTTATGGTCCCGTTTATTTATCATGTCTAATTGTAATATTTTTGTCTTTTGCCATCCATAGTGTTTATTTGTAGATTTATAGGCACATTCTAATTATTACAAATGAGGAGAACCATGCAACCTATGTTTCTTTGGGTCTGGCTTACTTTGCTTAATATAATTTTTTCTCAAGTCTTTACATTTTCTTACAATGGCGTAATCCCATTCTTCCTGATGGAAACATAGAATTCCATTGTGTATATATACTATATTTTCATGATCGATCCATTCATCCACTGAGAGAAATCTTGGTTTATTCCATAGCTTGGGTATGAAAAGCTGTGCTGATAGCTTTAGTGTGGTCTTCTTTGTAGTTTATTAGATAAATGCCTGGGAATGAGATTGCTGGATCATAGAGAAGCTCTAATTTTAGTTTTTTGAGGAGCCTCCATACCAGAGTAGTTGAACAAGTCTGCATTCCCAACAGTGTAGTAGCATTCTCCTTTGGACACATCTCCACCAGCATCTGTTATTGCTAGTTTTCTTGATAATTGCCATTCTAACTAGAGTATGGTGGAATCTCAATGTTGTTTTATTCACATTTCTTTTTTAGCCAGAGATTTTGAACATCTCTTCATGTGTCTATTCTTACTTCATGTGCCAAGCTTATGGCTTCTTCTGATATGTCTACTTTTAAGTCTGTAGCCTATTTATTAATTGGGTGTTGGTTCTTTGAAGGTTTGTGTTTGAGTGTGTATGAGGCTCTTGTCTGTTGCATAGCTAGTAAAGGTCTTTTTCCATTTTGTAGGCTTTCTATTGGTCTTGCTAGCTATGTCCTTTGCCATGCAGAAACACTTCAGTTTGATGCAATCCCATATATCCAAACTTTCTTTAATTCATTGTGATTCTGGATCTTTATTTAGGAAAATTTGGCCCATGCATCTATTGTGGTGATCATGTAGTTCTTGGCCTTGCTTCTCTTGGTGTGTTTTTATTAACTATATCTGTCATGATCTACAGGAGTCTTCTTAAATTCACTCAAGTCAAGATGAATTTCTAAAGTCTCTTAACTAATATTTACATGGTGTTCTTCCTAGCATCTTCTGTTGGTACCTGATATATTCTCTTTCTTTGAATTTTACAACATTTAGATCCATGCATCTGTTGAGATACTGCCATTTTTCTCATGCCTAGCTTGTTTCACTTAATATAATGTCATTCAAGTTGATCTCTATCACAGCAAAATTCAAGATCATAATAATTGTTATACCTGAATACAGTCTTATTTTTTATAAGTACCACATTTCTCTACCTATTTACATGATTCTTAATATTCATTGATTATTTCCATACACTTATTATTGGAACTAATTCACTAATTCATCATGGACAATGGGAATGTACATAAATTTCACCTTAGCAATTTCCTGCCTTTTGGGTAGACATGAAGTAATGGATAGCTTGAAGATACAGTAGCTCTATTTTCATTTTTATTTTCCCCCAAACATCAAAGTCCCACAATAACTGCACTAGTAAAAATAATGCACAATACCATTATATTATCTAAACTTATATTTTTCTTTATTGGTCTAAGCCTGGGACTTGAACTCTATAGTTGAAGATTTTGCTCATTGGCTGGCACACTTCTAACTGAGCCATGTCTCCAATTCCTGTCTAATTTTTTTCCTATATCATTAGTGGCTTTTATTATCTTCCAATTTTTTAACTTTTAGGGTTTTTCTTGCTGTTTTCACCTTTTGAAAATACATATTTATTATCTTAGTTAATTGAGCAAAGGATTTACCACTCAACAAATAACTTTTCAAATACAATGCATCTTGACTGATGTCATCCCTTTCTTGAATATCTCCCAGACCTCCAACACAAACTTTCTTCTCAAGTTCCCTCATTTCATAGAATATGCATTGAATATTATGAGTGAAGTTCCCCCCTAACTCCTTTCTTCATTTGTCTATACTCGTCCTTTGACCTTCCTCTAACACACACCATTTAATATCACGTTGTTATTCCTGGTATTAATTTTTCTGGGGAATCACACCAAATTCTGCAAATACAATACTTGGAAAATGTATTTATGAATATTTGCATAGAATGCTGTATGTGTTTACTTATGCATGTATAAATTAGTATAACTCCTTCCAAGGTATGTTTGCCTCAGTTTAAGTAGGGACCCTAGACTAGTGGTGAATTCATGACTTTCCGAACCCAGTCTCTTGGAACTCTGGAATTACAGGTATGTGACACCACACCTATCTTCCCTTGTGTTTGTGTGTGTGTGTGTGTGTGTGTGTGATAGCTCATCTACCAATTGTGAAGGCACACATCTTATTCATTTTCATTATTATTATTATTATTATTATTATTATTGTGGAAATAGCATACAGAGGGGTTACAATTACATGGGCAAGATAGTGAGTACATTCCTTATCAAGCATTGTTACCTCCTCCTTTGTTTCCCCATACCATCCTTTCCCCTCTCAACATCCCTCTACCACCACCCCACCACCATCCCCATCTTCCATCCCGCCAAAGTTGTAAAGTTCGTTTTTCGACATAACATCTTGTATATCTCATTGTTGTAATGGGTCCACCTGTAACCCTATTTAAACAGTTTGTTTTTTCCCTTCCCCTTCACAAATTATATCAACATCAAATACAATGAAAGCAGGGCTTATACCCTGGGGTACATACAAAGCAACAAAGAAATCTTCTTATAAATATGTTGGAAACAATCGCAAGAAACAAAAAAAATTTGAATCCTTATCTTGGGGTTCATTTTGCCTAACATCAACTTGTCTGACAGTTTCTATTTGTCTCAGACATATACTAGTTTTTGCAAATAAGGGAAACTATGGGATCTATATTTCTTTGGGCCTGGCTTACTTCACTTAATATAATTTTTTCCAAGTCTTTCCATTTCCTAACAATGTCATTCTTTCTGATAGAGGCATAGAATACCATTGTGTATATATACCACATTTTCTTGATCCATTCATCTACTGAGGGGCATCTGGGTTGGTTCCATATCTTAGATATGGTAAATAATGCTGTAATAAATATAGTTGTGCTGGTAGCTGTAGTATGTTCTTGTTTGTGATCATTCAGGTAAATGCCCAAAAGTGGGATTGCTGGTTCATAGGGCCGTTCTATGTGGAGTCTTTTGAGGAACCTCCATACTACTTTCCAAAGTGGTTGAACAAGTTTACACTCCCACCAACAATGCAGTAGGGTTCCTTTCTGTCCACATCCCCTCCAGCATCTGTTGTTATTAGAGTTCTTGATTATAGCCATTCTAACTGGGTGAGGTGGTATCTCAATGTTGTTTTGATTTGCATTTCTTTTATGGCTAGGGAGTTTGAGCATTTCTTCATGTGTCTATTGGTCATCTTTCTTTCCTTTTCAGAGAAGTTTCTCATTATAAATAAAATACCGGGTTGGGAAGGTAGCTCAGTGATAGAGCACTTGCCTTGCATGCCTGAGGCCCTGGGTTCGATTCCTCAACACCACATAAACAAAAAGAAAAAAACCTGGAAGTGGCGCTGTGGCTCAAGTAGTATAGCACTAGCCTTGAGCTGAAGAGCTGAGGGACAGCGCCCAGGCCCAGAGTTCAGGCCCCATGACTGGACCCCCCCAAAAAAATTAAAATGAAGTTGGATGCAGGTGGTTCATACTTGTAATCCTAGATAATCAGGAATCTGAGATTTGAAGATCTAAGTTCAAAGCTAGTCTGGGCTAGAAAGTCTGTAAAACTCTTATTTCCAATAAATTACCAAAAATCCTGAAATGGAGCCATGGGTCAATGGTAGAGCACTAGTTCGAGCACAAAACCTCAGAAATGATGTCCAAAGTCAGTTCAAACTCCAGCACTGGCACACACACAAAAATATTGTCATTCCATTTCCTAGCAAATGGGGCTATGTCATTCTTTCTGATGGAAGCCCCATTTGTTAGAAAATGGAAAGACTTGGAAAAATCATACTAAGTGAAGTATGCCAGACACAAAGAAATATAGGTCCCATGCAATAATTAGTATATGTCTAGGATAATCTTATCAGATGAGTAAAAAAGTTCAAAAGCTATATACATATGACCATATAAAATGATAATAAGCAAAATGAACTCCAAGATATAGACACAAGAGGTTTTTCTTTACTGTTGTTGTTTTTAACGTACTATGAGATTATTTTTGCTTCTTCTGTATGTTCTTCCCCCTATGGTATATATCCCCTGTTGTCAATGTATCTGATATTGGTACCCTGCATCTTGTATATACATTTATCTAATTTGGGGAGGGAAAGGGGAATAACAAAATGCTGAAACAATGACACAGGATGACCCATTGCAACAATGATACAAAACATTATATTGGAAATGAACTTTACAAATTTGGGGAGAAGGAGCAGGGGAGGTGGGAGAGGGGAGGGATATCAGGAGACAAACAAAGGAGAGGGTAACAATGCTTGACAAGAAATGTACTCATTACCTTACTCGTGTAACTGTAACCCCACTGTATAGCATCTTTACAATAAAATAACATTTAAAATTATATTGTCAAAGGTGTGGAAATATAAACTACAAATAAAAATGGTGCACTATTTTATATAACTAATAGAAGTTAATGTCCACAAGGAGTCCATAAATAAGATGGCAATTCCTTAACTCTTACAAAGTTAAATATTTGAAAGAAATAGAGTTAGGGATGGCTCCATGATGAATGCTGATGTTTTCTTGTAAAGTTTTCATAATATCATTGTGTCTGGTGGAGCACAGTTGAATGGACTTACCAAATTAAGGGGACACATGATTGCCAAGAAATAGCTTTTTTCTTGGGGAAAAAGAAGAACATGTAGAAATTTACAAAATGTGTTTTAGGGCCCCCAATTTCCACTCCATTCTAAAGATCACAGATTCAGGAAGGAAAGGAGATGGCTCTGCTGAGGAGTCTCCCCAGGGCCCCTTTCACATCCTTGTTTCTCAGGCTGTAGATGAAGGGGTTCAGCATGGGGGTGACCACTGTGTACATCACTGAGGCCATCATGCTTCTATCAGCAGAATAGGAAACAGCAGAACTGAGATAAACCCCCAGTCCTGTCCCATAGAACAAGCAGACAACACAGAGGTGAGAACCACAGGTGGAGAAAGCTTTGTGCTTGCTAGTGGTGGAGGACATCTTCATTAAAGAGGAGAGAATCTGATAGTAAGAGAACAGGATCCCTGTGGCAGGAAAAACCCCAAATAAAGCAGCTGACAGGTACAAGCAGATTGTATTGACCAGAGTGTCAGAACTGGCTGCCTTGAGAAGTTGAACTAATTCACAGAAGAAATGTGGAATCTTGGTGCCCACGGAGAATGTCAGTAGCTTTATCAGCAGGACATGGAGCATGGCAACACAGAACATGATAATCCAAGACACAAGGACCAGGAGACTACAGAAATGAGTGTTCATAGTAACTGAGTAGTTTAATGGATGACAGATGGCCACAAATCTATCAAAGGCCATGACTGTCAATAGGAAATTATCCATTCCACCAAAAATCATGAAGAAATACAACTGAGTGAGGCACTCTGAGTAGGAGAAGTCCTTCCTCTGTGTCTGGATATTCACCAGCATCTTGGGAATGGTGGTGGAGGTGAAGCAGATGTCCACAAAAGAGAGTTTGGAGAGGAAGAAATACATAGGGGTATGGAGATGGGGATCAGAGGTGATGGCCAATATGATGAGAAGATTTCCAAGCACAGTGATCAGGTACATGGACAGGAATAGCCCAAAGAGGATGGGCTGCAGGCTTGGGTCCTCTGAGAAGCCAATGAGGATGAATTGTGCCATGGATGTGTGATTTTCCCCTCTCATGTCACTAGCATTCTCTTTTAGAGCAAGCACTCAAAGTCATCTGCCTGCAATTCAGACCACTATTTAGCATTACCAGCCCAGGGTTAGTATCTGTGTATGTGTGTGCATGTGTGTGTTTGTGTGTCTATGTGTACATCTGTGTCAGTATCTGTGTTTGTATGTATGTATGTGTGTGTGTATGCCACTCCAAGTTCTTAAACTCAGGGCCTGAATTCTCTCATTTTGCTTTTGTACCCAAGGCTATCACTCCACCACTTGAACACCACCTGCATCCTGCCTAGGCTGGCTTTGAACTGTGATCTTGAGATCTCAGCTTCCTGAGTAGCTAGCATTATAGGCATAAATAACCTGCACCATGGCTATTTTTTTTTGTACCATGTCATCTTACACTGAATTCTCTTCATTGAAGTATGCCTGCTGCATCTTTTGAATGCCTGTATCATTTCTTATCAAGTGACTCAGAAAAAAATGCTTTCTGGGTGAATTCCTTCCAATACAAACCAAAATAATGGCAGGCACACAGATAAGAGAACAAATCAATTCCCAATCATCTGTAAAAGTAACCACATGGACTGTCTGGGAAGGTGGCTCAGTGGTAGAGCACTTGCCTTGCATTCATGACGCCCTGGGTTCGATTCCTCAGCACCACATAAGCAGAAAAAAAGCCAGAAGTGGCACTGTGGCTCAAGTGGTAGAGTTCAAGCCTTGAGCTGAAGAGCTGAGGGACAGTGCCCAGGCCCAGAGTTCAGGCCCACAACTGGATCCCCCCCCCCAAAAAAAAGTAACCACATGGAATATGTTTGTCAATGTTCTTCAGCTGCTATGGACTGAGTAAGTTTCACAGAGTTCGTGGATAAAAGATATATTTGATCAAATTAATTAATATTTGGAGGGAGAAGCTCATGCCTATAATCCTAGATATTCAGGAGAAAAAGATTGGGAAAATTGAATTTATAAGCCAGAGTGGTGAAAAACAAATAATAATAAATAAATCAGTGATACCCTATGTCAATTAAAATAAGCTGGGAGTGGTGGCGTTGCTCCTATAATCACAGCCAAATGAAAGTTATAACTAGGAGGTTCATGGTCTGAGACTGGACTGGGTGAAAAATATAGGAAAGAGCCTATCTGAATAATAACCTAAAGACTAAAGGGTTGGAAATGTGCCCTGAATGCTTAAGTGCTTCCCTAGCAAGCACGGAACTAAGAGTTTAAACTCCAGCCAATCAAATAACAAAAATGTCAAGGCTTGTATGAACTCCAAATCATCTTAAAGTATTAAAAAGTGGAGAGTCCACGTGGAAAGAAGCAATGTCATATACATACACTTGACCACACACACACACACACACACACACACACACACACACACACACGAAACAATAAGAAATCATGTTATTTTTCAGGACAATGGATGGACCTGAAGGTCCTTGGGTGAGTTGAAACATACAGCCTCGAAAAGAAAGCTATCACATGTGTAATCTAGAAGACTGTGCAATAAATAAACAAATTTATAGAATTGGGAGGGCTGTTGGAGGAAAAGCAGGTGACTAGTGGGAGGGTTACATATGAATAAAGCTCCTGCTATGCATCTATGAAAATATGACAATGAAAACTGTTATTAGGCCTGATTAATACATATTCATAATCAAGCTTAAAGAAGACACAAATGTAAGTTTGTAAGTTACATGTTTACAATGACAGTGATTCAAGGAAGTCAAGGTTCTCGATGTCTGTTGAGTGGAAATTAAGGAAATAGACTAACGACTCATGACCTGCCAAGTACATGAGAAAGGGACTAGGAGTTGGTCCTCTAGGCAAGAAATGGTTGTGCTCTGAATGCAAAGATGGGTCACCTGTGGTCCCTCCTAGCACCAAGAGGCATTCCAAATGCAGGAAACAGACTCTTCAGCTGGTAGATGGATGGGGAGCTGGACCCCCAGAAGGATTTGAAAAGATGGTGTGATGGGGAGTAGAGGCTGAGGGCTGGGAGAGATCAAATCTAAGCCCATACAGTAAAATTTCTGGCAGTCTACCCCGATGTTCCTCTTGCACTGGAAAAACCAGGTTCATGTGTGAATCTGAGATTTTGTGTTGCTTTCATCTTTTGCTTTTTTTCAGTGACTATAGGAATCCCATCACCTGGTAAGCAGTGACAAATATAAATGTCAGCAGAATCTAGAGGTTTGGAGGCTGTGATGCTGGTTACTAATCCTTGTAATTCTAGATATTTGGGTGGCCAGTCCACGCAGGAAAGCCTATGAGACTCTTCTCTTCAAGTATTCAGAAAAAAAAAGTCCAGCTTAAGTGGTGAAGAACTAGCCTTGAGCTCAAAGAGGTCAAGGCTAGTGTGTAAGCCCCAGTGCTGGCAGACAGACAGACAGACACACACACACCTGTTACACCTCTATCCTGAAAGCTAACATTATGATAATACAAGTTTGTCTTGTTTTTCTTTATTATAGGGAGAAGAAAGTGTCATTATATAGATAATAGTACAACACCTGAAATGCATCCTTATTTCACTGTATCACCCCTCCTATGTGTGTGTGTGGTGTGTGTGTGTGTGTGTGTGTGTGTGTGTGTGTGTGTGATTCTTAGAACTTGAATGCAGGGATGGGGTGTTTTCCCTGAGCTTTTTCACTCAAAGCTTGTACTCTGCCATGTGAGCCACAGCTCCACCTATAGTTAATTTCTGATTATTTGGAGTTAAGAATGTCATGGACATTTCTACCTAGTCTGGCTTCAAATTGTGATCCTCTGGTCTCAGCATCCTGAGTAACTAGGCTTACAAGCATGAACTACAAGCACCTAGCCATGTAATTTTTTTCTACAAAATTATAGGAATTATTATCAAAACAAAAGGAAACAGCAATCAATCTAGTTCATAAACAGACAATTGACAACAGGAAATACAAAGAAAGATAACAATGTATAAGCAAGAGTGAAGATTTGTAGACTCGGCAGAACATACCTTGTGGTTAAAGGCAATCTAGATTTCACAGCATGATGAAGGAAGCAAAATAAAAAGCTGAGGAGGAGGCAAAGTAATAGATTTGTTCATGTTAATAATGATAAATGTTACTGGAAGTCTGTTTTTGTGAAATCTGTCCTGAGGAACTCTGCTGGGGTTTTAAAGGAACCTTGAAACAGACAATTCCAGGGGATGGTCAACAGGGACCTGGTTAATGTTTATAGAGTGTTAATGGTTGCATCATCAGAACTTCTCATTAAATAAATTGTTCAATTACGTTTCCATTCTCCAAATATTGTAGCTCTCTTGAGGTCTCAAGAGAATTACAGTATGGAAAAAAGTTCAGGCAAATTCATGTCAGTTAAGACAGCAATAGAAACTAACAAATTAATTTCATTCCAAGGGCATGTAAATCTTTTATTTTGTTTGATTTAAAAGTCACAGGAAGGGGACCAAGATGGCAATGGGTCAGTAGGGAAACCACAGCTCTCTCCAACCAAAAGGAGAGTTCGAATTCCAATGCTCAATTTCTCCAGGAGACCAACAACAACAAAAAGACAAACACCCAGAGAAAAACAAGTGGTGGAAAAAGACAAAATAAACAAAGAAAGAAAAGGAAGAATTTCAGAACAGATATGTGCAAAGACCCCTCTCCCAAACTTTACTGGCTGCGAGGCAACATGCCAAGCCATGGCCATCCTGGCTCGGTGGGGGCTGCTGGAGGCCCCAGAGACACAGGGGGTCATCTGCAGATCACCCACGCAGAAGACACCTATGGTACCAGTGTAGGACCCACTGATTGTGGTGAACAGAGAAACATCTGAGCCAGGAGTCTGCACAAAGAGCCCTCCCTAACCCCTCAATCTCCAAGCAGAGGGGCTCAGAACCCTAGAACTACACAGGTCACCCACAGAACACCAGAGCAGAAGCCCTGGAAGGTACTGGTGCTGATCCGGAGAGCACAGAGACAAACCTCAGCACTCAGTACCTGCATGGAAACCCCTGCCCTACCCATCGGACAGAGGCTGGCACGCAGCCCACCCAAGGCACAGCCCATCCCACTGTGCCAACCTGAACAGCATCTACAGAGGAAAAGACAGGAGGAGAAACATGCAGAGCCACCACTGCCCAGGCAAGCCCACAAGGATCTCAACTGAACACTGACTGCAGCAGCAACCAGTGACCTACATTGCACAGAAACAACAACTAGCTCCAGGGTGAGTACCCCTCAGGGACAGCGTATCCCTCCTCAAGGGAGACCAGAGCTGGTAGGAACCCCCAGATCTTGACCCAGACCCCCTACCCCAACACCTGGACCACAGGACCCACTAAAACTAGGAACTGTGAGAGTGTTCCAACAGCCCATGGAGCACATCCAGCTGGCCAGGCTAGATCAAGAGCATCCCTGGAAGGGACCTTCAACACCCAAGCCAGGAACAGCACCCATGGGTCACAACAGTGAACAGTGGAAGAAACCTGAACAGTGTACTCCAGGCTGCATAACCCAGGTGGGATATACAACAACACAGGTCCAACTGGCATGCCCTAGGCTGGGAGAGTACACCCAGCACACCAGATCCTGCCAAGAGCACCTGTAGGAGTAAACAGGAGCAGTCTAGGCTGCTGAGTCCTTCTAAAGGCAGGAACTGCAAGTGATCTACAGCAGACAGCCGAGAGCCCTACATGGGTCACACCAGTAGCTGGAGGTTGGCTCCCAACAGAATTGAGACCAGGTACAGACTCTCTATGCCAACCCAGAAACAGCAACCAAGCAAAGACAGACACCTATTGACCAAAACAAAATTTCAGATTAGTCTCCAATAATATCTGAATCTCCATGAAAAAATCACAGAGAAAAATTACAAGGTTTATCAACACCCAGGATAGCAAGCTACCCTCAAAAGCCAGCAGCCACCCAAGGAAGAGCTCCAATGGAAGCAAAGCAGGAATGGAAGACAAAAGCTACATCCAAGAGATGCTGGGGGCAATGACTCAAGAATTAAAGTGAGAAATAGATCAGAAATTT